CTGATTTACTTAGTCCGGACTTCTTCTTCCTTCTTCCCTCCTCTCTCTCTCTCTCGCTCTCTCTTTCCTCCCCTTTTCACTATTCCTACTCCCCTTCCCTTCTCATTTGCTGCTCTATATACTTTTTGCATTGCACGGGGGTTTGTTAGGCCCTCTTTGCTTGTGTAGCCCGCCTCCTCCGTCTCCGTTATACGTGGTCTGGCATCCCCGGTGGAACCAGAGAGCCAACGTAACTACCATCTCTCGGACGGAATTTGAAAGAAGTCACCCTGTACCTTGCTATATCTCCACCTGTGTGGAATACTTGGAATAGGCCTTGATTTTGCTGTGTAAGTCGAGTTTAGGATGATCTTCCGAATCGCCTCTGTGCCGCAGCAATTCTTCTGACTGAAGACCTTTCCCCCATAGTTGACCCTACACCATGCATATCAAAGAGAAGCTTTCCCAGAATGAGGCTGCTGGGAGACCAGGAATCTCATTCGAGTTCTTTCCACCCAAAACAGCCCAGGGTGTCCAGAACCTTTACGACAGAATGGATCGCATGCACGCCTTGGGTCCCTCCTTCATCGACATCACCTGGGGAGCTGGCGGCCGCCTGTCCGATTTGACTTGCGAAATGGTCAATGTTGCCCAATCGGTGTATGGCTTGGAAACTTGTATGCACCTCACATGTACCGATATGCCCGTCGAGAAGGTGGATGCTGCGCTCCAGGCCGCTTACAAGGCTGGCTGCACCAACATCCTGGCTCTTCGTGGAGACCCCCCTCGTGAAAAGGAAAATTGGGAAGCCACCGACGGAGGATTCCGCTATGCGAAGGACCTGGTGAAGCACATTAGGGAGAAATACGGCAATCACTTTGATATCGGTGTCGGAGGTTACCCCGAGGGTGCGGATGACAACCCGGACGTTGATCTTCTGATTGATCACCTTAAAGAGAAAGTCGATGCAGGAGCCTCTTTCGTGATTACTCAGATGTTCTACGATACGGACAACTTCATTGACTGGGTAAAGAAATGCCGCAACAAGGGCGTCGCGGTGCCCATCATCCCCGGTATTATGCCCATCCAGACGTATGCTGCATTCATCAGACGATCGGAGTGGACGAAAACGCGGATTCCGCCTGAGTGGCTGGAGGCCCTGGAGCCCGTTAAGAACGACGATGCCGCTGTGAGAAACATCGGTAAGCGCCTGGTCGCGGACATGTGTAGAAGGCTCCTCCAGAGCGGTCTCAACCACCTGCACTTGTGAGTCATACCTTTTTTGCCTAATTACTTTCTGACAGGATCTGACAATTGCTGCCAGTTACACAATGAACCTCGCTCAGTCAACACAATTGGTGCTCGAAGATCTCAACCTTCTACCGTCCGAGGAGACACCGCTTCAGAGAGCCCTGCCTTGGCGGCCGTCGCTTGGTCTCAATCGCAGAGGCGAAGATGTTCGTCCCATCTTCTGGCGGAACCGCAATTCTTCCTACATCGCTCGCACGCAGACTTGGGATGAATTCCCTAACGGACGCTGGACTGATTCTCGGTCGCCTGCCTTCGGCGAGCTTGACAGTTATGGTATTGGTCTCAAGGGTACGAACGAGCAAAACATCAAGCTGTGGGGACAACCTAAGTCTATCAGGGACATCACCCATATATTTGTCGACTTCCTAGAAGGCAAGTTGGCGCGACTGCCTTGGAGTGACAGCCCGATTACTGCCGAAGCCAACGCTATCAAGGATGACCTTATCGAGCTAAACAAGAAGGGTATCTTTACCATCAACTCTCAGCCGGCCGTGAATGGTGTGAAATCCTCCCACCCGGTATATGGATGGGGTCCCAAGAACGGTTATGTCTATCAGAAGGCATACCTGGAACTCTTGATTCCTTCCTATCTGCTTGATGACTTGATTGCCCGCATCGAGAAGAACGGTTACCTCACATACCACGCTGTCTCTAAGAATGGGAACCTGCGGACCAACACTAATGACAGCCCCAATGCTCTAACCTGGGGTATCTTTGCGGGACGAGAGATTGTCCAGCCTACGATTGTGGAGACAGTCAGTTTCTTGGCTTGGAAGGATGAGGCATACCGTCTTGGTGAAGATTGGGCCAAATGTCACGATGCTTCCAGCCCCAGCAGAAAGTTGATCCAGAGCGTTGTCGATGACTGGTCTCTTGTTAACATCGGTAAGTGCATGCATTCATCAATATGAGGGCTAGTACTGATCTGCACCCTACAGTGAACAATGATTTCCACAACACCAGCAGCCTCTTCGACCTCTTCAAGGATCTGACCGTGAAGGATCTCGATACCGAGATTGCGGTCGAGGATGGTGAAACCAAGGTTCATCAAAACGGCGTCGCGAACGGAGTCGAAGCCACCAACGGCACCGTTGCGAATGGAACCACAACGGAGCTTCCAGTCAAGAACTAGAATACTCCGATCTCCCTTTTTTAATGCCGCTTTCAACAGGCATATCGACGGGCTCACACGCTTAGTCTACGATCGTGCTATGCATTCTCATGCATGCATCCTCTTCAACCCGTCTCCCGACTACTTACTAATTTCAACACATGACGATTACAACTACACCTAATTCAACATCTATCTATTCTCAACGACTTATTCCCGCGGCCCTGAGTCAGGAACACTCGGGCCACAACAAGCAACTCAACGAAACGTTTAACGGCGGCATGAACTGAAGACCTCTCAACGATTTCTTCTCTGAGCGATTCTTATGATACTTCAACATGACATCTTATCTTCTCACTCACAATTATCTCTTAATATTTAACATATACCCCTCGCATGGCATTTTTTTGCGTTTTGCACAACAACACCGACATCGAGCATGGAACCTCAACGTTTATTCCTTTTCATCTATTTTCCACGATAGAGCTCGACGCTTTTGGAAGACACCAGTCTTCTCTTTTTGTCATTTTCACCTTCATCGCATTCAATAAGCGCCGTTCAGACCAACGACGACTCTGCGGGCAAATTCAACTTTCTTGTTTATGCACAGCGACGATCAAAAATTCAACACAAAAGGTAGGGTATAACGGAGTTGGGATCCAAACTTGGGAAAAACAAAAGCGCATCCTTTTCAACATGGGATAAGGCAAGAAATATACAGGCGGAGTCAAGTTAAAGAATGGTCCATTTTCATTGCTTTTTATATTTACCCATCAACCTGCGCACGATACACTGTTCTGGCCTTTATGGATCACTTTCTTGTTCTTCGCGTCTCATCTCATTCCATCTGCCATCTTTCCTTTCTAAATGAGGGATCGATTTTGGCTGTTCAAAAGTTTTCGTGCTTTTCTTTTTCACATTTAGCGGCGGCGGTGATCGTGATGCCGAGTCCGGCCCACCTTGTGGTCGGGGTTGACGGTGGCCGATTGACATGGCATTCTTGAGGAAGGAAGGAAGGAATTACCGGGTGAGGAGTGCCCCGGTGGGAGGTTCGGAGAAGACAGTAACGAGAAGGGAGGATATCCACCATTCATGCATTGTGCCTTCTCTGATTGACTGGAACATACTATCAACACAACTATCTCGACTCACTGTGTTTGTGTATCTCATCGGCGCCGCGTAGACAACGAATTGCCCCCCCCCTCCCTCGTCTTGCACAGACGGGTAAGAGAACAGTTCTCCGCTTGAATTCCGGTAATAAACCTAGTGCTTGTCTCGCAGCGACCGAGAAAAAGTAGAGCCTTTGTGCGCAGTACGGGTTTTCATCTGGATGTAGATGTAAGCTGTTTGATACGAGAAGGGGGACCGCTGACTTGACTTAATCAAGTAAGCAAGGAAGCCGAGGAGGTTAACAGACTCACTCAGCTGCCAGATGGCAGGCGCACATTGTTCCTGTCCCAGACTGCAATGGATTTCCTACCTACCAATCCGAAACTAGACCCGTGTACCGTTTACCTAGCATCTCAAGATCTACAGCAAAATGCAGCAATAAGGATTCGTCTGTTTGTTCATATTCGAAGGATGATAATAAATGACAGCACCGTTGAGTGGGCATAAGAATGAATGGCTGCAGAACGAACGCCAGAAGAGGAACCTCGTAAAATGTAAGACAACCCCACCGCCATGGTGGCACCCAGCCCCACTCTACAAGAGGAGAATCCGTTCTAGACACATAGGCCAATCGCAAACAAAAGCAATCTCAGGGAGAGAAAAAAGCACATCGCCGGCGCTTCTGATAACTCCCCCACATACAAACACACCCATGACGCCTCGAGACTGCGGGAGGGAAAAACTAACACAGTATTACCGCCCCAGCATATAGTATACAGTATAAGCCGGGATGAACCCAAATTTTCCATCCATCCCAATCAACACAATGCCCGACCCAGGGCTCCGAAGAACCAGGCAAACGGTTTCGCGAACCAAATGACCCATGTACTCACGAGGACGACATAGCCCGCTGCGCGACCGATGATCATCATGCAGAATCCCAGGGTAACAATGTACAGCGCGGCCTGGCAATGGTCGATCAGCGAGCGGACCAGGTCCTTTCGGGACGGTCTGGGCCAGGCACCGGTGGAGTTGTAGAGGGAGAGGAATGCTAGGAAATTCTTGAGCACCAGAAGGCAGTGCTCTATCATCATGAGAATGCTGTTGAAAGCAATGCGGACCAGCATCGCTTTGTTGTCGCGATTTACCATCACTTGGCTGTAGAGTTGCTGAAGCTGTATTGCGGAGTCTATGATGGCGTCTTTGATAAGAGTCCATATGGGCTGGTCGTCGGCTGGTTCCTCCGTGCTTTCGGGCCGTTTCGTACCGCTCTCGGATTGCTTCGCTGGGTCCCCGAGGATATCAGCATTGAAGTCCGTGACGTTGAAATGAAATACCCCTTCTTCTCGAGGTGTCTCATAAACTTGCTGTCCGTCCAATTCGGCCACTTCGAAGCTCTGGAGTTCGCGAGGTGAAAGTCTCTCCTCCGATCCGTCTCGACTGATAGAATTCTGGGGAGAGATTTCGGGACCAGACGATGTAGTCCCGATATAAGGCGATACATCTGGAGCAGCTGATGCGCTTGCCACTTGTGCCACATTGTCTTGTACCAATGATGTCTTCAGCTCAGGGGAGGGCTCGAACACGCCTCGTGATACCATGGGTGGTGTGTTCCCACTTCCAGGTGCCAGGCAAGGTGGATGATTCTGTGGAGGAGGATTACCTCGCGGAAGACTGCTCGGGCCTTCTATTATCGCCTTTGACGCCCCGGACGTACGGATGAATCCACGTATAGGCCTTGGCTTGTCCGACGTTCGGCGTTCGGTTTCTGTGCCCCGAGGTTTGATGGTGGGTATCTGTGTCGGTGATGTTGCCTTTGGGCTTACTGAGTTTGGAGAGGTCGGTTTGGAGGATGGTGTGCAAGTTGCAGTCTGTCTTTCCCACGAGTTTTGCCTCACTCGTCGCAGGCCTGCCGTGGATGAGCCTGCCTGGGACTTTGTCCGTGTGCCTGTGATGATCTCTCCTGCGGCTCGAGATGTGGGCTCCTGTGTGCCCGGGGTCTTTTGAGCATGGGCCCTCAGGTCTGTCATCGTAACCATAGTGCGTGTGATAGTGGGTGTGATAATGAATACATCGTCGGACTTGCGGTGTGGCTTTTGCTCGTGAGTCTTTGTCGTCGTGTTTGCCTGAGGTGCCCGGTTTTCTTTCAGAGGGAGTTTCGAAACATTCTCTTTCGAGAGATTTTCGGACTTCTGTGGCAGTCGACAATTGGTGTCCTTGCACATCGTCTTGGGCAACTGCTTCGAGCATTGGGCAAGGTTCGAATTCTGTGAAGTTGGGTTTCGATCTTGCTGAGGGGGCGCCTTTTCTTGGGCTGCTGGTGTGAGGGCGTGTGTCGTGGCTCTTCTTCCTTCTCTGGGAATCTTGGATTTGGGGCCTGGAATGTCGATGACCCTGGGGCGCTCGTCCGTGGTCGAAAAAAGCAAAATCTCGTCCGGGTTCTTGTCGTTCGGTCCGTTGATCTCCTTGCATCCTAAAAAAGAGCCGTCGGCGTTAGCTGCAAAAGGCGTGTTGGTCGACTGCCCAGGTGACTCTTCCCAAATCGTGCTGAACCGTGGCTTTCCAATTTCATCAGGACTATAATAACGAGGTGGTTCCCCGGCGCCTTCATTATCGTTGTTCTCATAAGAAGGTGGATCAGGACTCGGCTCCTGGCCGTCCAGACCAATCATTTTTTTCTCGCGTTGGTCGCTAGGCATGATTTTGTCCTCAGGAGTGGTGGTACGGGGGCTTGGAAGCGTCTCAGGATCGAGCATTGTTCCACCCTCTTTGTGAACCCTCTCGATGCTCTGCTGGAACTTGGAAATCTGCTGTGCATTCAAATGCAAAGGATTTGGCTCTCTCGCTGACGGCATGTTGACAACAAACCGATCCTCCCAGTCGGTCACTGAACTTGCAGGTGCTGATATTGGTGATATCGGATATGACTGGTCGGATGAGTCGGTCGTTACATCTGTTTTCTCGGATGTTGGTGGCTGCGTGGTCTCAGTGGTCGGCAAACCTGGCCCTCGTTCTCCGGTATTTGGGCGTTTTCTTTGACCAACGGCTTGAGTAGTCTCGGATTTCCAGAAGTTTGTTCCTGGAGAAGGTCGATTGTCAAGATGTAGGTTTGGAACATCTTTCCGCAAGCCGACGGGTCGTGTATGTAACTTGTCATCCCGGGGTATACCTCCCGTTAATCTCAACTTATAGTTAGCAATCTCTTGCCTGGGTGAAGTAGCCAATGACACGATCTTCCGGTATGCCTCTTGATAGTATTCCTTGTGCTTCTCCTTACTGCGCAACGGAGCTGGTATTTCCCTCTCGAACCTGTCTCGCACTTTACGCCAGTATTGATCGCCTCCTTTCTCGGCCTGCTTCGGCGCAGCAAGTGACAACGCCCCAAGAGATCTCTTTGGACGAATAGTGCGATCGCCTTCTTGTTCCTTGGTTTCAGTCACGGCAAGTCGTGTTCCAGCAGATTCTTTGGTCTTGTCGCCGGGGGATTTAGGGAGTGGGAGCTTGGTGGGTTTGGTTCTCCGCGCCGCGGTGTCCGACATCGTCTTCGGGTCCTCGGACTTGGACGGTGTAGATTGTTCAGTTCGCCGACCTGGGAGCCCTATGCCTTGTGCTGGGGGCTTTGCTGCGTCATGGGGTCTGGTGCGCTTGCCACGAGGATTTCGAAGTTGCAGCATGTTATCGCTGCTCGGTAGGTGGAGGGCGTGTTCCATCTTTGACCGCTGCTCAATCAGGGAACACCGGCAGCTTCAGGCTGCATCAATACACCGACCCATTCCCTCTGCGATGAATGTGATGGCGATATCGTTGATTTGGGAGCTGTGCGAGGACTAGTGTGCGGTAAGGTGTACAGTACGATGTGGTGGACGAAAACGAGGCTCGACGGAGCCAGGCGAACATTATGCGAGAAAGGCTGGGGAAACCAATACTAGACGCGTTCTGCTGAGGAAATGCTAAGGGATAACAGGCGTAATGATATGGGTGGAATGTTGGACGGCCAAGGCTCGCCTCACTGAAGAATGTGTGAACATCTAGGCAGGAGAGGGCGGGCTGACCAATGCGGAATGCGCAGCTCAAACTTCTGATACCATTTGGCATGGAAGCCGCACGCAGGCCCGAGTTTCAGTATGCTTCCTGCTGGTCGCATTGGAAAGAAAATTGAGGAAACGACGGAACTCAATAGCCCTTACACCCATCAAGTGATCAAGTGGAGTGCGTTGGAATCGCCATGCAACCTTCACTTCACAGGCAAGTAGAAGTGATTTCAGATCAACAGAAACACGATAAGGCCAGTTAAGACAGACGGTCTTCAGGATTGCGGAGGATCGAAATGCATATTGTACAGTGGCTGGCTATCGGGAACTCCATTCCCGAAAATGACTGGAAATCTTCAACGCCGCTCTGAGAAGACCTTATCTCAGAAACAAGGAAAAATAAACAAGGACAAATAAAATCAGATGAACACACTAAACGCCGTACTTGATGCTTGGAGAATGCAAAGTCACGGGATGGGCCATGACGAAAGTTGCTGATATGGTTTGTACAAGAAATACTTTTTGCTGCCAACCTGGTCAAGGGAGGTTTGAGCGTATACCGAATGCTTACAACAAGAAATGGGTTGTTTCACGGCGTGCGCCAGGCTGGCTCCGCCTGGGACCTGGCGTGGCTGGACTTTCTCCCCCAGGCACATTGCTCCGTTTGAGTGGGCTAGACTGCCTTTTCACTGCGCTTGTACCACGCTCTTTGTAGAAAAAGTCTCCGTTACTTTGGAGTCGGCGGTCCAGATTCGCCGAGACCGATTTTCTCAATGGAGAATTAGCGTGAGAATAAACCCCAAGGCTACCTCCGTCGCCAGTAGCGGTTGGAGTTCGTCGAAATTGAGGTTGGCGAATTGATGCAACTGGGTTGCGGACAACAGGGGAAGCATCGCGCAAATGACTAGGGGTCTGGAGGGCACTTGAACGATATGTGGGACCACTAGGTGTACCCGCTGCGGATTGCTGTCCTGACGAGAATCCTTCGGGGTCGATATGTTTGATATAGTTAGGGTTTGGACTCGTCTTGAATCCTCGGTTGATGACGAAGGTTGGTGTGAATGTGTCGACCTTGTTGTGCTTGATGTCGGTATCAGACTCCGAGAATTGAGTTCCAACATCCCTCATTAGAGGTTGGGTTCGAGGATGCACATATTTGGTATCATACTCGCGGAGAACCTCTTTATGAACCAGCATGTTGTCTTTCGCCTGCTGTGTGTAGGATGAGGACAGGAATGTCATCTGCACTGAAAGCAGAGCTGCCAGGAAGAGAGTGGTCACAATGGTAACGCTGGGGCGGGGATCAGACACATGAGTCGGTAGGAATAACCAATAGACTAGAACATGGCCGGGGCTGAACAGGCAGAACAGTCGAATGCAGATGGGGAAAGGATCCCAGACAGCGAGCTCCCAAACATCGCGTTGAGCATCTGGATGCGCTCTCGATTGTGCCGATCCAGACACTACATCGGCCAAGTACCGCAAAGGAGACGCAGTTGTAGGGGTTGAGTCGACTCGCACTCGGTGCGCCGATGGTGTTGCGGGGGCACGATCAATCGAGGCTTCGAAGAGACGATAAAGGCGTTTACGATAAAAAGTATAGAAGGCGTTGAAGGCGGAAAATGTCGTAAGGAGGTGTACCAAGAAGGAGGCCTATCGATAAACAGGTGAGCACCGCTGCTTGAATTCGAGCCATATGAGAAGATCGCACGTACCAACCAACTCAGCCAAGGTGTGCCTTCATCGTCGCCAAACACATCATCTATAGCTTGACTGCCCGTTGTTTGACTGTTGGCTCGGGCGATGAGGAAAGTCAGGTTCAGGAGCACACCGAGCGGCAATGCCCAGTCTTTCTCGAATTGATCCCAGTCATGAGTGTCGACCTCCTCGGATAGCCACAATAGAAAGTCTAGAGGGTTCAGGTAGGATGCGATGCGCTCTGTCAACGGGCGGCGGCGCACAAGCCGGGGCATGGCGGAGACGGCAAGGCTGCTAGGAAATGGGGATGTTAATGGAAGTGAGAAGCAAGCTAGACATATGCCCAGAGGAGAGTGACTGTAAACCAGAACTTATTGAGGAGCCAAGCTCGTGATAAGCTAATTGAGTCAAAGCCGCAAGTTTTCCTCCCGGTTGTAAACAACAATGAGGGATAAGTGAGTGAACTTAGCGGCCGGCCCCGCTTAGATAAGCAGACTCCGGGGCTTAACTTAGTATGACGACGTCCGATGGACTGAACTTATCGGGATCGAGACTCAACTCACTACGGGGCCAGCTGTGCGTTTGTCTCCGCAGACCTTACTTGGATCATTCGCAACGCCTGACAAACCCGATCAGGCGAGCCCATCTTTCTACATCCATCCTCCTTTTTACAATAACACCATGTCGGCTGCGGCCGTCTCCTACAAGGTAACCCCCCCCCCCCTCCCCTTTTAAAGCACCCCCGCTTTTGTTGCTTGAGCTAGCCCGCATACTGACCTCCAACGGCCCGATAGGAACGGCAGTTCCTTGCTGTCATCGGAGATGAAGAGTAAATCCTACCTCTCGTCGGAATTCCTTTTCAACAAGTCATTCGCGAACTGACTGGACACCCAAAACGTGCAGCTCCGTAACGGGACTTCTCCTCGCGGGTATCGGTGTACGTGTTACCCTGAAAGTATCCGAAGAACATTGGGTAGCATGCGACCAGCAACTGACCCTCCGATGAAGCACGTCACAGATGGCCCCGACGCGCAACGAAACTTCCTTGTCGTAGACTCGAAGACGGAAACCTCTGCGATCGAAAAAGCATTCCACAGCTTCACGCAGGAGCGACAGGATATCGCCGTCCTGCTCATCAACCAACATGTACGTGATGGAACAGCGTGATAGTCGCACGCGTTCAATCGCGATGATAGCGATGCCTGCTCGCTGAATGCCCCGATATTGACAACTATACTCAGATTGCGGAACGCATCCGCCACGCCGTCGATTCATATGCCGAGGCTTTCCCCGCGGTCCTCGAGATTCCCAGCAAGGACCATCCCTACGATCCCGAGAAGGATAGCGTGTTGAAGCGGGTGCGCCGACTCTTTGGAGAGTAAATCAGAGACAGGAGGGACAGGAGATTGTCCACTAGGAGCAATCAATACAAGACTAGATTCTCGATCGACCCTGCTGCATACGCTTCCCTACTACCTGTTGTTCCTTTACTTGGTCGCTCCCGCCTGTTATGGAGAACGACTGTTCCCAAAGCGGGAGAAAGATACCCATGATATTTGTTCATAGACTTCCACCTGTCAATGTTGCAAGAGCGTTGCTGATATTCAGAACCTGTCTAATGGTATTATTTTTCACATACCAGTCTCTATGTACACTGTTAACTCTGATTACGGTGTCTGGAGTTTAATCTTTGATACGCTAGCAGACAAAGTCTCCTCATTTGATCTTGGTACACATGGTATTAGTACTATGGTGACAGGGGAAGCCCAACGGTGAGCGGTCGTGAAGAATATGACAGTATGCTATGCCTCTGAGCAAATGCTCCAGAACGCCATAAATAACAGAACGCAGGCGAGGAGGCCGAGTAGTAATGATCGTGAAGCGTAAAACAGCAGCTAATGGAGCACTGGTCAACAACAAGCAGAATAACTGGACATAATAACCGGACTTAAAGCAAAGGAGGTCACAAGACGGTTGTCAGCTTGCAATACAAACAATCATGGGCAGTGAAAGAGCTCGTGAACATCTAGCACAATCCACAGCTGATGTGCATCATAAGATGAGTGGTAAGCACCCGGAGTTATGCTAGTGGCATTTAGAAGAGAGAGCCCCTCTTGAACTCAATGTTTCGCGCGTCGAGGCAGGTAATCCGCTCATCATTCACAGACATGACATCGGCATGGACCGTGTATTTGCCCTAAATAATAGATGCCTTAGGTCAGTTTCGGTTCGTGGCAGTTTGGGTCTTCGTGGTAGTGGAACGTACCGGAGGAATTTGACTGGGCAGGTCGACCTGCTTTGTCAAGACCAGATCGCCTTTGTCCAACGGGCATTCGAGGTCAACATTGGTAAGTTGATCGCAGAGATCGGCCTTCTGCCTGATCAGAGTAATCAGACCATATTTGACCTCGAGCAGAACGTAAGCACCCTTCTCGATCGGCTCCTTCAATGTGCCACTGGCCTCGATTGTAAGAGTATGGCCACTGCGAAAGATTAGCGATGAATATCACGGGATGACAAGCGGCTGTATCGCAGTACGACGTACGGAAGAGGAGGATTAGGGGACAAGTCGACTTTCTTGATCTCGAGGACGTCGCCGGAAGGATTAGCGCAGTATTCTAAGGGATTATCGCCTTTAACAGGGATTCCATTGGTACTGATCGGAGACTGCGAGTTGAAGAAGTCGATCGACCGAGCGGTAACGGCGAAGGGAGCGACGCTGAGGAGGACTGCGGCGGCAGTAGATAAGAGCTTCATGGTTGCAAGACCTGGGGGACTGTGGCGTGTTGTGACCTAACGAAGTGAGCGCGATGTGGGAGCTGAGAACGAAATGGGCGGGTGAGGATAAAGTATATGCTGTATAGTTTACGAGCAGAAGAGCTTAATGGGAAGCGGAGTGATGCACGGTGAGGAGGCGAAATGGAGGAGACGAAGAGCGGTGTCATGGGACGTACCTGGCTTGGCAGCCGCCGATGACGACGGCTAGGGGGGGAAACCCACGTGATGGCGCCTGCGCCCTTTCCAGTCCTTGCCTATTGGAATTGAAATGAATGCATGGCCGATCAATCTAATTTAATTCGAGTTCTCGAGCTGGTGGCTTCATTCCAATTGTGATTCTTGATGACCTCTTCAGGTCTATTGTAGTATGGACCACTTTGCTATGGAGTAAAGGTACTCAATCTGGGGTTATTGACCCACCACACACCGGCCCAAAGGGCACAGCTTATCGTTGTTCACGCATATGCCTTGTACATCAATCTCCGCAATGCTAAACTTTCATAACTGACCAACACACAGATAATGGCTTCACTCCTGACTCTCTTAAACTTATGTATTGGACGTATTCATCAAAATATAGCTATTTACAGGTTCAACCTCTGCTTCAATGCTCGGAGACAAAGATGCCCGCCATTCCCATGCCCTAAAATGAAAACCTCAGTCAGCATTGAGCAGTAATCGGCTACTCTACTTGGAGTGAACTTACGGTTCCGACACACATCGAGGTCACCGCGACTCTCTTATTTTGACGGCGCAGCTCTGAGAGGGCGGTGACAACTTGGCGAGCTCCAGTGCAGCCCAGGGGGTGGCCGAAAGCACTAGATTCAATTAGCAGATGATGCTTCGGAAAGAAACCACGCAGACTTACATAGCACCACCTCGAGGGTTAACTTTGGCCTCGTCCAAGGCTAGCTTCTGCACGCAGTACGTTCCCTATGTGGAGAGTTAGTCCTTGATCGTGCTTTTATGGAGTGAAAGTGCGCGTACCATCGATGCGAAGGCCTCATTGATCTCGAAGATATCAACCTCCTCCTTGGACAGCCCGACCTTGGAAAGGATCTTGGGGATAGCGATGGACGGACCGATACCCATGATTCTGGGCTCCAAGCCGGCCACGGTGGCGCCGCAGAACTTAGCCAGAATGGGTTGACCGAGTTCTTGGGCGCGGGAACGCTTCATAAGAATCAGACCTGCGGCACCATCGGTTATCTGACTGGCGTTTCCACCCGTGGTGGCGCTGGGTTTCCATTGGGGAAAGGCCGAGCGGATCTTGCCCAGCGACTCCGCAGTCGTGCCGTATCGAATACCGTCATCGCGATCGACGATGATATCCTTCACCTCACCAGTCTTGGGGTCCTTGATTTGAGTCTTGACGGGGACAATCTCATCCTCAAACCAGCCTGACTTCTGAGCGTGCTCGGCTTTCTGGTAGCTCTTTGCCGCAAATTGGTCGTGTTGTTCACGAGAGATGTTGAATTGAGCGGCGACGTTCTCGGATGTTTGGCCCATGGGCTGTGCATTCTGCGAAGCAATGGGGTGTGCCGTGACCTGGGAGGACATCTCAGGCGCGCCTCCATCGGCATTGGTACTCATGCTCTCCGCTCCAACCGCAATGCCGACGTCAATGGATCCAGCGATGATCTGGTTGGCGATATTCTGGATGGCCAGCAAGCCAGAAGAACAGAAACGGTTGGCAACAGAAGCAGCTGCAGTTACCGGAAATCCTGCAGCCAATACTGCAGAGCGTGCAACATAGGCGGAACCGGGACACAAGACGTTCCCGACACAAACATCTTCAACGAGATTCGGGTCCAGGTTAGATTTTTCGCGAATAGACTAATGGATGATGCGGTCAGCCAACGGGCAAGTGACGCAAGCAGACACAAATGACTTACTGTGAGCAACGAGATCAAGAGGTTGTCAAGCGTAGTGTCTTTGAGTCCGCCCTTTCTGGCCTTTGTGAGGGGAGTTCTGGCGGCAAATGTGATCACCTAATAATCTCAAGTCAGCTCCAGTCTAGAATACGGATCAGGGTAGGTTGCTGTAGTGCCATACAATATCGTCAGGGTTCTGGGTCAGAAGCTTTTGCCGGGCAGAGGCAGCTGCCGGGCTGGCAAGCTGGTTTGCGATCGAAGATAACCGTTGCTGAGGGGAAGACATTGTGCTAGTTCTATATCTTTCTTCTTTCCCACTTAAAGTTGAAAGAAATTCTTTGCCCGACTATTAGGAGGCTGCGGTGAGTATGAGAAAGAAAGTCAGAGGTCAGAGCAAAGAAACAATAGAAAGGTTGATCAGACACTCTTCCCCAGGAGTTGGGATTGTTTTATTAAGCTGGGGCAAACCGCCGCCGGACAAACAGCCGCGGCTCCAGCAACAACAGGGCAAGCCAGATGCAGAAAAGCAGCCGAGCCGAGATCGGGTTAGGGAGTGGGAGCGACCAGGCTTGCAATGCCGATCGAGCGGGTCTACTGTATCCAGTGTATCCACCTTTGCCCCC